ACATTATGTGCAAACAAAGGAAAATTAAACTTTATAAGTGTTGGATCAAAATTTAAAAGTCAATTGGCTGAGCTTATGGAAAAATTAAGGAGTACTGTAAGTTAAGTTATTTTGGAGTAAATCAATGTTTCATTTGTTTTAATTATTTTAAAGGGTACAAACTTTGTTCGATGTATTAAACCAAATGACAAAATGGTGGATCACCTGATAGATGGTGGATCAATTCTATCCCAATTACAATGTTCTGGCATGACAAGTGTATTAGAACTTATGCAACAAGGTTTTCCATCTCGTGCTCCATTTCAACAACTTTATGATATGTACAAGCAAAGACTGCCTCCAAAGCTTGCACGCCTTGATCCAAGAATATTTTCTAAAGTATTTAATGAATATATGATAAACATTTTTATAGATATTAATAAATTAATAATAATTATAATATTTTATATTAGGCATTGTTCAGAGCAGTTGGAGTTAATGAAGGTGATTACAAGTTTGGTGTATCAAAAGTGTTTTTTCGACCAGGCAAATTTGCTGAATTTGATGCTATTATGCATTCAGATCCAGAAAATTTAAAACAAATGATTGAAAAGGTGCAAAAATATCTGACTACTTTACATTGGAAACAATCTCAATGGTGTGCTTTATCTGTTATTAAATTTAAGACATTTTATCAGTTTAAATATTCTGTAAACGATACACCAATACTTACAAGGCATTAACTTTGTTATAGTAAAAAAATAAAATATTGTATCGACAATCAAATCTTATAATAATTCAAAAAAATGTGAGAATGCATTTATCAAAAATTAAACACAGGCCTAGATATATGGGAATAAAAAAAATAAATGGTCTTAAAGTGAGTTAAATACTTAAAATCTATTATAATTGCAATACTATGTATTATTTATCAAATATTAATTCTTATAATCATCATATATATTTTTTTTTTTTTTAGACCATATTAAATGAAATGGAAACATTGGCAGGACAAATTAAAAAAGATAATGCTCTTTGTTTATCTGATGCTCAAAATTTACGAATCGAATTTGATTTAGCTATTAAAAAGATTAGAGTAATTAATTAAAAGTTATATAATTGTCATTATTTTTAATTCTTGATTAATTATTTTAGAATAATGAAAATATCAAAGCAGCTGAAATAAACAATATTTATAATAGTTTGGTTAAAGCAGCCAATTCACAAATGGAAAGTTTGAGAAAGAAAGCAGATGCCGAAAGAAGTGCTGAAGCTGAAAAACAACGTTTAGCTAAATTACAAAAAGAAATGGAAATGGTTAAGGCTATTAAGGATAAAGAAGAACATGCCAAATTAGAAGATGAACAAATTAAAAAACAGTGAGTGAAATTATTCATAATTTTTAATGTTTAATTTTATTGTTTTAATTTAAAAATTATGGCTGACTTTTGTTTATAGAAAAATAGAAATAGAACTTCGCCGTAAAGCAGAAGAAGAAATACATAAAAATGATATTTTCTTAAGTAAAGTAAGTATTGTTCAAAAGTATATTACTAGTTATTATGTGTTATTTATTTATTAATTAAATTTTAAATTTAGGAAGAGATTGATAAAGCTGCATTAGCCGAAGCTAAGTTTAGAGAGCAAATGGAACAAGAGCGACGTGATCATGAACTCGCTTTACGATTAGCACAAGAAACAAATAGTTTTGTTGAAGATATCTCTAGTACCTACTCAAAGTAAGTATAATAAATATAATGAATATTATTAGTATAAATAAGAGTAAAAAAAATGTATACATCTTTATCAAATAGGAGATCTACAAATTTAGAACAACCATCGAGTAAATATGATTTGTCTAAGTGGAAGTATTCAGAACTTAGAGACACTATCAACACTTCCTGTGATATTGAACTACTGGAGGTAAATCTAAATTCAATATGATTGATTTTATTAATGATGTACAATAATAGAATTTCTGCAATAGGCTTGTAGAGTGGAATTTCATCGTCGTCTCAAGGTATACCACGCTTGGAAAGCCAAGAACAAAAAACGTACTTACATGGATGACAACGAAAGAGTGCCTCGTTCCATAATGGATACTGGTAAATGCCATAAATTATAATTAAGTTATTTTTATCTATCAGATATTGATATAAGTGCGTTACATCATAATTTTTTTTTTTGCAGCTAATCAGTCCAAGGGAGTCAAGCATTATCAAAACACAAAGGTACAGCCAATAATTCCTACGAGTAGTCAGCGTTATTTTCGCATTCCGTTTGTACGTTCAAATACACCCACTAGAGCACCTGGATCGGGAGGAGATCAGCATCGCGGATGGTGGTATGCACACTTCGATGGACAATATGTTGCTAGACAGATGGAACTACATCCTGATAAACCAGCAATTTTGCTTAATGCCGGTAAGACTTCAATAGTATCGATTATATTTAGTCAACGAGCGTCTAATCTTTTGAAAACTTGTGTGTTATGTTTTAAAAACATTACTCGTTGAATAGATAATAAAGTAAAAATATATTTTCATTCTAGGGAAAGATGATATGCAGATGTGTGAACTAAGTTTGGATGAAACAGGATTAACTCGTAAAAGGGGTGCTGAAATATTAGAAAATGATTTCAATAAAGAATGGGAAAAACATGGTGGCAAAACATATACTAGGAATAATGTTAATTAAGTATCTGTAGTTTGTATACAAACTTGCTGTTAAGATTGTTGTTTCAAGTAAATGTTTAACTATAGGTATAAAATTAATCCAAAATGTCACATTCCTTTCAATTTTGATCTTTTTTGTATTATTTTATGTTTTGTTCCTATAATTGGGTGTTTGGTTTTTATCAGATTGTGATAGATATGATAAATAAATTACAGTATTCAATTATTGTTTTAAACATTTTTTTTTTTTTTTTTAGTAATTTCTTGTTGATGTAATTGTTGCACCAATATCAAATCTCAAATTTGAAAAATTATTTTTTGGTTTTTTTATTTATTTAAAAATTAAATATTAACTATTTTATATTGTTATTTCTTAACAAATTTCTAATCACTAAAACAAATATTGAATGTTAAATGTTCTAACAGTTTTTTATTGAACACTAAAAACAATATATCTATCTATTATAAAACTCGTTACAAATTATTGTATTAATATTTAATATAAATCTGTGATAATAAGCTGGGAACTTGAAACAAATATATAAAATTGTTATTTGGACATTTTATTATTTACATAATCATATTTATTAATTTATGAAATATTTTATTTAAAAACAAATAATGAGAAAATGTAATGAATATATAAATTATAATGTATTCTGATTTTTATAATAATTATTTTCATTGATACTTGTTTTAAGATCAATAACATTTTTAACTATGGCATATGTGTATGTTAAATAAAATTAAAACCATAAATATTTATATGTAGTTTGAATTTATTATGTTTTTTAGCGAGATTAGCTACTTCCATGTTCTATTTCTTTACAGTATTATAGTTAATTAACAGTTGTAACACATATTATTTTAAAAATATGCTAAAGTACATTAATTTCTCAATAGGTAACTTTATTCTAGTTGTATAGTATACAACTACCTATACACACGTGTATTATCTGATAATTATAATATTATCAGACTAAATGAAGCTTTACACTAAACGAATAATTGTGTGGTTAATAACCCCCCCAGAGCTTGTCTTTTTAAGCAGTCCAAGACATTACCATTTTGAGAGTTCAGGGAAGTAACACAAAGAAAACTTTTTCTAAGGAGACGGGATCATACTTTGTTTCATATGCCAAACGTTCTGAACTGCTCATTCATGGGTAAATCTTTGTATGCTGGTGACACTGGGTGTCAGGAATGCTTTCATACTTCAATATTTTCAAATGGAAGGAATCTCACTATCTGGATACATTTAGGGCTCAGGCCCTAGATCTCAAACAAGAAAGTAAAATATTAACTTAAAACACTGTTATAAAAAACAAAATGTTAACACTTGTTGAATATATATATTTAATATTTGGCATTCGTGTAGCAGGTGATCTAACGCTATTTTTTAGGTATAGTAAGTAATCCACTATATTACATTAGGTATAATTGGTGACTTACAATTATTAAATTAGATGAATGAAAACCATTTGTACAATTTTATATAGTAATGCTTTTGATCATTTGACTTTAAGTCTGTAAACCAGAAAATTTTCTTAATTCACAAACAATTAATGTACTTACTATTTATCTATACACTATTTTAAGAATTATAAATATTAAATTAATATAAATATTTGGTGAATATTTCAAGTGTCTAGGATAATATTTGTTCTCATAAATTTATTCTTGAATAAACAATGAGTTTGACAACAAAATCTTGAAAGTTGGAGAATATTCAAATAATTGTGTTGTATTTCACTGGCAACATTATACAGCTAAAATTTTCATAACTTCTTTAAGGGAAAAACGTTTGCGGATCATCTAGAAGTCAAATAAATTACTTTAAAGCACTATAAAAAAACTAAAATATTCTTAGAAATAAATTATGTCTTTGCTCAGGATTATCATTCCTATGTAATGATTAAACACATAACACAACTTACTCAATGAAGAGGTACACTTGACACATTGTACAATAGTGAAGTTACATACTTTCAATCTTTTTTCTTTATTTAACTTAAAATTTATCTATATTAACTTAACAAGTTAAACTAATTAGTTAATTTACTTATTAATTATTATTGATAAGCAATCTACATGTAAAATAATAAAAATACTAGTATAAACTATACTCATAAATCATTCACTAAAAATATTTTTTTTTCACAAAAAAATAAATATATAACTATATGTATGCTTAATAAACATAAATAATTCATTTTTTCATAATTTATTATATGCCTAAGAACATAAACATTTTTTTTTATAAGATTATAATCGTATTATTACAAATAAACAGTCAATACATCTGAAAAAATTATTATACAAAGGAAAATATTTAATGTAGTTTCAATTTATACTGCTATTACATTTTTTTTTTCTAAATTAAATGATATTTATAAAAATCAATTACAAATCAGAAATTATAACTTGAATTTGTTATTAGAATAAGGCAGTTTTACAAATAGTTAATTATATATTTTGAAACATATCATACCCATGGATACATAATTAAAATATTTTATGCCAAATAATTGAATTATAAATATTTAATCGTACATCATTTGTTAAGAATGTTCTTGAATAACTCTATTTAATTCTTCATCTCGTTTTTGTTTGGTATGTGACATAAACTGATCCAGCTGTTGGTCTAAATCTTCTTTAGAAAATACTTGTTCTTTACGAGGAAACTGATCCCTGTAAAACATACATAAAAAACAATTATGTAGATTTTAAAGCAATACATGAAATTACAATTAATTACTATGATTATTATTAACTATATTTATCACTATACAAATGAATTATTTTTTTATACTGACAGTCACCAAAACTAAATGGCAAAATAGTTAGTCAATTGAGTAATTTATTAAACAATAAGACAACCATATTTACTTAAAAATATAGTAAAGAATTTTAGAATTTTATCATTATGTTGATACTGACTTTAATGAGCAGCCAGTATGGGAAAAAATAAGGGTGAAACAACTGTACTTGAAAACTTGTTACTAATATTGCATAATAATATGCAAACAATAAAAATAATAATACTATAAGAAAAATTATGATTGGGACCATAGATCCTTAACTTCATATTATATGAAACTGATGATTAAGGGTAATTTTTTATATTTTTTTTAAAGTATTGGAGACGGTTATTTACTAAAGGACAAAAATTTTAGCTTTCTAGTTATGTTACATGTATAGCAGGCCATAAGGAAAACGAATACGACAAATAATTTTTTTTTTTACTTAAAAGGGAACACTTTTGGATTGAACACTGATTTTTTAATCAATTTTAAATAGTATTATGATAAAACTTTTTTAATTTTTAAATACTTATCAAAACCTCAAGAAATATTTTCTTTTAAATCAGAATCTAATGTAACTGGTATAAACTGTTTATCTTTTAATAAAAAAAAAAAAATAAATATCAAAATCTGACTATTGCATGAGATGCAATTTTTTTTCTAGAGGTAAGCTAAAGGTACTTAAATAATGTTGGTCTTAAAATTTTTAACATTATAATTTTGATGTTAACATTTCAATTTATATTAGTATTGTTATTTATTTAAATAAAATTAAAATCAATTAAACAGCATGTATTTGTAATAATTACTTATGTGTTGCAATAATACATTTTGAGGTTATTTCATTTCAAACTTCAGTTACTAATTTATTTTAAAATAAAATAATAAGATAACATCTAATTATCTATAATATTGGTCAAAAAAATATAAAAAAATGTTTAAATTTGACATTTAGCCCAATAATACTCTTTACCATTGGAATGAACATGATATTCGTTATAATTTAATTAATTATATATTAATTATACTTTTAATTTTAATTTTAAATATGATTTTATTTTATACTAATAGCACGATTTAATTATGATTAAAGTTATTAATTCAAATTTACAATTTATAAGAACTATTTAATGAAAAATGTTCATAACTAACCTCTGTTTTGATATCTGTCGCTTTTTAGATTTAGAAACCTTAGGAACTCCTGGGTTATTTCCATTTGTATTTACATTAAGTTTAACAGCTTCTCGTATTTTAGTCTTAGGACCTCCTAAAATAAGTGGTTTATTATGCAATTCAAATATTAATTAAAAATTGACATCGCATTACTTCTTCTTCTTATTCTTCTTCTATCTTCCATCGGTGGAACTCTTCCTATACTAAGTCTTTCATGAACAGGAATACCTAATCTATCTGATGATCTTATCATATTATGCATAATACTGTTATACATGCGATTGTTAACTTCGGGTCTTGGAAGAGGTAATGGTGGTAGAAGTGGTACTCGAAGTCGTTCTCTATTCACAAATTCCTATACCAACAAAAATGTAAAAATAAAATATTTGTAAGTACAACAATCTAATGAAGAAATAAAATATACCTGATTTAATAATAAGGAAGCTGCTACTTCAGGTCTACGTTCCATATTAAATGATAGGATACGATGTTTCCTGACAAGTTCATCTTCTACGGCTGGTTTAGATTTCTTTTGTATTTGAGTGAACCTACATTAAAAAAATTCAGGACAGTTAAATAACAAACATAAAAATAAAAATTTGGGATGATAAACAAAATCTTGTACAATACCTGTCATTCAAGCTCATTCCAGTGTTTTTGACCAGTAAATTGCTTTTTCTTACTGTCGACATTGCTAAAGCTACTCTGACCATAGAACAGAACACAGATCAATATAAATACCAGCAAAAAAGGCTTTAAGAACGGTGCAACATGATTTTCGTGATAAATACGTGAACGATGACTTTATTGACTTTACTGGATATCAAGAAAATTGTACCAAACACACAAAAAAAAAAAAAAAAAATAGTGCGGGATATTAGTACAATTAAATAAATTACTGTAAATGGCGTATAATTATGCAGGAGTTAACCAAACACGAACACACGACGGTACCGAAAAGAAATCAGAATAATCAATGATTATAAAATAAATTCACAAGTGTGAGACGTCTAAAAGGTATAAATAACAATCGTATAACCATTGAATACAGCACCTACTTCATAGTTCATATTAATTAATGAATAATGATATTGTTGTTGTACAACATTTACAATAGCATTCGGAATATCGGTTGATAATAAACTAAGTAAATCACGAGAGGATCGAGAGCAAAATTCAGCGACCAATCAGAAACAAGTAAGGATTATTATCATATTATCATATAATTATTAAGAAACATACATTACCCGCGCATTTTTAAATATATTTTAATATTTATATATATTATTCATAACATTATTTATATTATTATTTATATATATACATATACCTATTATAGTATTTATATTTATATTAAATATATTGTAAGAAACATACATTACCCGCGCATTATCATAATACCACAACACGTATAATTGTGTTTATTCGTTGCCATTTATTTTATAAATGTTGTAAGTACAATGTCGTCTACGTTTTCATTTATGTGCAATATGTGTAAAAAAGTTTTTGGGTACCATCGGAATTTAGTAGCACACAAAAAGAAGTGTGACAGAGGAATCGTAGAAAATATCAATAAAAAATCAATAAAATGTCCAGACAATAAATGTGGACAATTATTCAGCGGACATGCATTGCTACGAAAACATGTTGAAGAGTATCACAAAATCGTTCTAAAAAAAGAACATATTTATTTTAAAACTCTAAATGGTAGGTAAAATAGGTAGTAATAATATCCTATTTATCAAATAGAACTTTTAGAGTCATGATTATATCACCTTTTATTTTTATTATTCATTAATGATGTTGGTCTTATGTTTAAATATTACAAGTATCTATTAATTTCCAAAAATTAAAAAATGTATTTACCACTAACCAATATGAATGAATCAATTCTTTATTTAAAATCATAAGAAGATATATTAAACAATAAATCTGTTAAATAAAAGTTCCTTTTATTATAATATTGACAATGGTTAATGGAGATTTTATATTATACCTACCAATAATGTATACCGTATAGTGTGAAAAACTGAAAACCATTCTTTAATTAAGCTGCTGACTGCTGTTTAATTGTCTAGGTAGGTAGTGTAAATATAGTCTCTAAGATACATTGACAGGCAATCATAATTCATAGGGCTCTGTGGAATCTAATGAATATGTTAAGTAGCCAGTAGGTATAATGTATATTAATGTATATAATATGCGCTTTCTTATATTTAATGTTATTATTGGTATAGTGCTTAAAAATACATTAAATTTTATCATAAAGCTGTAGGTATGTTATATAATTATTAACAACTATATATTTGAATATATAGTTATAAGGTTTACTGAGAAAATATTTATGCAGAAAATGTATGGATCATAATTGATAATTTACTAATAATAAAAATTAAGAATTACTTATTTCCAAATTGTTTAGATGTTTATGAATAACTATATTAAGTCTCTTTTGGAAAATAAATTAATAATTAAATTGAAATGAACACTTGCTTCGATTATCCAAATCTTAATATTGGAATTAAAAAAATGAAATCTTATAAACTAAAAACAATTAGAAATGAAAATTTTTAATAGAAAATACAATAGTGACTTCACTATTATTATTAAATAATAATTAGATTGATTAATATGTTTGATCATTATTCATTACTAATTAGTATTATGGACTTGTAAATGTATAGTATATTTGTTTCAATTTTTGCTGCTGGAGTGCTGTTAAAACTGTGTACAGTGCAGTATTATAAAAGATACTTTTAAAATTGCATATAAATAGAGATACCAATACATTCATTCAGAGTATATTATGAATACTTAATTAAACAAGTATTTACTTAAATATTTTACCATACTGGACTATAGTGTAATTTAATCAAAGAATAAAATATAATAAAATGAATACCTGAATATTCACTAAGTATATAATATTTTGCAGATTTTAAGGAATGGAAACAGAAGGTTGAAAAAGAAAATGTTTGTTCGTATACTACAAAATCAACGGCTAGTATTAAAAATGGTAAACGAACTTATTACCATTGTCATCGTAGTGGATACTTTAGTAGTAAATCATGTGGGATCAAGCGTATTAAAAGCCAAGGAAGTAATAAGATAGGATCAACATGTACATCTTCAATGGTAAATACTAATTGTGATTGTACCTAAACTTAAAAATAGATATCTAGATTCTAGATGTCTATAAACTAATTAAGTATTGTATTACTATTTAGGTGGTGACAGAAGATGCTAATGGAATAAATGTTGATTATAGTAGCACTCATTTTGGGCATGGGTCTAATTTAGGTAGATGTAGGTTAACTGCTGATGAACGTTCAATGATAGCAGGTAATAAACTTTATTAGACAAGTTTTAAATATTTCCTTACAGCTATTGTATAATATACTTAATAAATTATAAATCAGTAGCACCATTTCAGTTTTAAAATAGGACCTCCAAATATTGGGCAGGCCCATTTTGGTCTAACAAGCCTCATGAAAATTTTTAAATAATTAGAAATTGTAAAATTGACAGATTTAGACTATACCCCCAAATCATTCCCTCCCTCCCAAAAGTTAACAGGAGAACTTCTCCTGGATCTGTATCTGCATATATGTATGGCTAAGATTAGGTATTATTTGTGGTAGCATCATTATACACTTTATTATAATTAACAATTAAATCAATTGTTCTACTCAAAGAAAAAAGTAATAGTAATAATAAAGTATAATATAATGTTCAATTTAATAGTTAAATATCATAAAAGGTTAAACAATATTTTTTTTTGTACATTACACATGATAAAAATTAAAAAGGTGGACTTGTTGGTACACTCTGCTGTATAAGAGTTGATGAGCATATCATTATAATGGATGTGTTATATTTATATATGAATGCAATGATAAATTATTGCATACAAACCGATTCTGAACAGAGACGTTGTGGCATACTTGAATAAATAATCAAAGTGAATAGTTAAAAAGTTTTTTATAAAAATCTAAAATATTATTTCATGGCTATAATAATTGGGTGACTTTCCAGCAAAGCCTTTCTTTTAATAGAGGTAAAAATTTGTTGGGAACCTTCAATATGAATTTTGATTGTTAGTTATGAAAGGAAAAACTTAAATGAATTTCTAACTGAAAAATAGTTTGAAAATTTTCAAAATTTTGCAAAATATAACTTTAATGCATATAATAAATACTCGTGCCTGTGAATCATAAATATTTTTGAACTTACATAAATGAAACTTAAAATTAACTTTGTTTTAAATTTCCAAACTTATTTACTAAGTGAAAAGGTTTTTAGTGAGAATAGTTATAAAACAAATTTACAAATTTCTAAACAATTTCTTTAGGCCATAACTAGCTCAAAAATAGTCAAAATATTTTTAAATTGTTATCATTCATTGAAAATGTTAATATAAATATATTGTGATGGTTTCAAATGTCTACAATTATTATTTTTTAAGTTACACCAATTGAATTTTTGAAAAATTGGTTTTTCATAAAAATTACCACAATTCTTTTACAGTTTTTACTGTTTTTCTTGACGCTTTCTAAAACTTCTTGAATTTTTCAATTTTCACCTTCCAAAAGTACCAACAAAATTTACTTTTCTATCAGGAAAGATGCTGATCTCGAAAATCAGAGAATTTTTACTATCCAAAATGTTACTGAAAGATAGAAAAAAAAAATTAGAAGAAAAATACACATCATTGTAAAATCAATGAATTCTTTCACTCCACCCAGAATCTAAAATTTAAAACATTTAATTAAAAAACCCTTGTAAAAGAAACAAATTTATTTAAAAAAATTACTTATTCCAAAAAGTACTCAATTCTTTTATGTTTATTTTAGGAAAAATCTCAGAAGGAGTTAGCTTTTCAAAAATTTTAGACGATATTAGAAATAATGTTCAAAGTATTTATGACGTCACCACTGTTATCTCAAAGAGAGATTTACGAAATGTTGAAAGGGATTTCAATTTAGTTGAGGGTAAAGCTCATTCTTCAGACTATGTTAGTGTACGTATATGGATGGAAAATATGAATAGTTTGTCTGAAGAAGAAAATCCAATCATTTATTCCTATTTGGAAAACGATGATGTATTTTTGATTATTGCAACCAAGTTTCAATTAGAAATGATTCAAAAATTTGGTTATGAAAAAATCTGTGTAGACTCTACCCACGGTACCACAGAGTATGACCTTCTTCTTACTACACTAGTTGTAGTGGATGAGTATGGTAATGGATTTCCTTGTTGCTTTTGTTTTACCAAGAAAAAAGACACCAAAACATGGATCACTTTTTTTACAAAAGTTAAAGAAAGAACTGGCAATATAAAAACGAAGGTTTTTATGAGTGATGATGATCCAGCATTTTATAATGCTTGGTGCAATGTCATGGGTAATGCTGAGCATAAACTTCTCTGTAGTTGGCATGTTGATCATTCATGGCGTAAACAAATACAGACAAAAATTAAAGGTTCATTCGAAAAGAAAACCTATATTTATAAAACACTCAAAATCTTACAACATGAAACAAATGTAGAAGATTTTGAAAATATGTTGGCTGGAATATCTGATGAATTGAGAGATGACAACGATACAAAAGAATTTTATCATTACTTTCAATGTAATTATCTTAATAGAGTAGAGCAATGGGCATATTGCCATCGTAATTTATGTGGCATCAATACCAATATGTATTTGGAGTCTATACATAAGACCATCAAATATTTTTATTTAAATGGACGTAAAAATAAACGTATGGATCAATGTATAAATGCATTACTCAAGTTCATACGTGACAAGATCTTTGAAAGGTTTATTAAATTAGCCAAAAATAAATACTGCAGTAAAGAAGATAAAATTATGATTAGCCACAATGCTGCTGTTAAAATATGCGATGCTAAAATTGAACGCATGTCTCCTACAACTTGGAGAATTAAATCTACTACTGGAAAAGAATCATCCTATGATGTCAGTAAAGTACAAGAAATCTGTGATTTAAGCAATTGTAAATTGAAATGTCGTTTATGTAATATATGTAATCATATATATACATGTGGCTGTCCAGATTTTATGATTAGATCAAATATTTGTAAACATATTCACTTAATTTTACTGTCAGAAAAGCATTTAGTTCAGACTTTTTTCACACAGCCCGATGAATCAACTGAACAGTTTGATAATTTTGAAAAACTTCTAGTGAATCAAGATATTGTAGAACCTGTTGAAAAAGAAAAAAATGCAATTATTAACAAATTAATGGTGGGTGTCGGTTTAATGAAATCTAATGATTATTCCATGGATGATTGCACTGATATACAAAAGAAACTTGATTCACTTTTGGATACCATTCAAAGAAATAAAAGGAAGCTAATAGATACTAACAACTTAGAGCCTTCCAATAAAAAAATTGATAAGCAGCTTCGACTTGTTACAAAAAAAACTAATTGTAAATCTCAACTTCAAAATATTACCACTGAACATGAAAAAAATGAAATAAAACAAAGTTTTAAAAATACTCCAGCAGTAGGAGCTGAACGAAAAATATTATACATCCATAATACAAATGACCATACATATTAGTTATTATATTATTATTATTATATTTTATTCTTTGATTAAATTACACTGTAGTCTAGTATGGTAAAATATTTAAGTAAATATTTGTTTAATTAAGTATTCATAATATACTCTGAATGAATGTATTGGTATTTCTATTTATATGCAATTTTAAAAGTATCTTTTATAATACTGCACTGTATACAGTTTTAACAGCACTCCAGCAGCAGAAATTGAAACAAATATACTACACATTTACACGTCCATAATACTAATTAGTAATGAATAATGATCAAACATATTAATCAATCTAATTATTATTTAACAACAATAGTGAAGTCACTATTGTATTTTCTATAAACTAAACAATTTGGAAATAAGTAAATAATAAGTAATAAGTAAATTATCAATTATGATCCATACATTTTCTGCATAAGAAAGCGCATATTATATACATTATACCTACTTAGCATATTCATTAGATTCCACAGAGCCCTATGAATTATATTATTCTACAGAGCCCTATGAATTATGATTACCTGTCAATTAAAGAATGGTTTTCAGTTTTCACACTATACGGTATACAATATACATTATTAGTAGGTATAATTATAATATAAAATCTCCATTAACCATTATCAATATTATGCGCGGTTTCATAATAATTATATGATAATATGATAATAATCCTTACTTGTTTCTGATTGGTCGCTGAATTTTGCTCTCGATCCTCTCGTAGTAAATCGGGTCTAGGAAGGTCCCGTGTTTCAGTAACAGATAAATAGATAATAGTATATACAAAGGATATTTACCATCACACGGTCTTAGCCACAAATAATACGAAATCTTCCGAGACCGTGGTTACCGCACTGGTTAAACGCGGTTGGCGGTATGTTTTGTGTGGTTATATGATAGATAAAAACATAATTTTATCAATCCGCTATCTGCCAAAATTTGAATTCAATTGTTTTCATAATATTATCTTAATAACAACATTACCCACTTCGTAGGCGGTGATCGGGGAGCCTCCCAAATTATTGAACATTTTCAAAGTATTAAACAGGTACTTACTTATTTTGCAACAACGTAAAGAAAGATTCAAGCCCCTCCCCCCTAAAATCCAATCAAATATCCGCCTACGCATTACTTACATCGATATAGATACGCTCAAGTATACATAAACGTGCACGTCTCGACTATGTCATAGTAGTCGTAGACCGTAGTCTCGTCGCCATATCGTGTTCCTAATTATCAAACAGTGTTCGCGTCGAGCCAGGCTTACAGCTGCAATAGCTTACTGCCTATATAGTGCCTACTACGTCGTTTGCAGAGTAGGGCGTTATTCGAATGAAATTTTATTTAGATAATATTTTATTCGAATAAATTATTATTCGAATGATTTTTTCACGATTATTCGAATAATTTCAAAACGTTATTATTCGAGTAATTTTCGTTAATTTTGTTTGGGTAACCATAGGGTTGGTAATTAAAAACAGGCTAATAGTTGGCATTGTAGGTATTTTAAATTACATGATGATGAAAATATTATAAAATATTATGTATAAAATAGATATAAATCTATAGAAGAAAGTAAAGAATTTGACGTTTTTTTTTTTAATAATAATTTAGTAATATTAAAATATGAATATTTTTTTTTTTTTTTATTAAATAAAGGCTTCAAATTCAAAGTTTATTAGCCTACAATGATTTACGTTTTATACATTTTTTTTTTTTAATTTAATTTGAACATTATAAATAAATAAATTTAGATTTCCGTTGTTGCTCCAGGTGTTGAGATGGTGTTACAAGCTCGTTGTGAGGTCAGCTCTTTTGATGAAATCCACGATTTTTGATTCTTGTCCGGGGCCGAGTGATTCTTTGAGTGAGGTGGTGTTGATATTCGATTCCGTGCGCGCGTGTTGGTAAGTCGGGCATTCAAGAAATATGTGTTTCACTGAGAGTGCGCAGAGACATGTTTCGCACACGGGTTCAGGTTCCTTGCGCATCAGGTGTGAATGAGTCAGTCGCGTATGTCTGATGCGTACTCTGGTGATCATTGTTTCCTCGTGTCGTGTGAGGTTGATTGGGGGGATTTGCCATTTTTTTGTATATGTCTTTATTTGATTTAGTTTGTTGTTGGTTTGTTTTTCCCATCGAGTCTGCCACAGGGAATGGAATTTGGTTTTAAGGGTGTGGATAACGTCTTCGTATGTTACGTGTGGATATATTTTTGTATCTGGAGATCTAACTGCTTTCGTTGCCAATTCATCTGCAAGTTCATTTCCAGGAATGCCTACGTGGGATGGGATCCACATGAGTTTTATGATTTTGTTGGTTGCGAGGATTATATTTTGGATGCTTCGGGCGAGATTACATTTTGTGTGTATGTTGGCTATTGACGTAATTGCGCTCATAGAGTCGCTCAGGATGAGGATTTTTTCGTGGGGAGTGGAGAGTGAAATAGATATGGCTTCGAGTATGGCGAACGTTTCTGCAGTGTATATGCTGGAGTAGGGAGCAATTTTGTGGAGGGTATTGCTTTCGAAGTGTGTAGTGGCAAAGCCGACATCATTGGTTGTTTTGGAAGCGTCTGTGTAAAAATGGTAGTAGTTTTTGAATTCGTTGTTTAATATTTCGTGGAAAAAATTGATGATCTGGCTGTGGGGAGTATCTTTTTTGTTGAAATGGATGAGTTCTATGTTGACTTCTATGTGGTTGAAGTTCCATGGAGGGATTGTTGAGATAGTTTCTATAGTTTGTATGTTCTTGATGTTAAAAGATATTTCATCGAGGATTTCGTGGAGCTTTATATGGAATGGTTTGGTCTTCGATGAATGGTCGTGGTAGGGTTTTGAAATTATTTCTGTCATGCGTGTTTGAGGGGTAGACATCTTTTTGGCTGCGTATTTTGTGATGAGGAATTTTTGTCTGATGTCCAGAGGTAAGCAGTGGGCTTCGCACAATAAACTGTCTACTGGACTTGATCTGAAAGCTCCGATGGCCATTCTTATTCCAGCGTTTTGTACCGTATTCAGTATTTTTAGGGTGTTGGAGTTGGTGAGGCTGTAAATGGTTGATCCATAATCTAGAGTTGATTGTACTAAGGCATTATAGAGGATTAGGAGTGTCTTACGGTCAGCCCCCCATTTGAAGTGACTGACGGATTTAATTATATTCAGTTTTTTAGTTGTATTTGTTTTCAATTTTTTTAGATGTTCTTTCCAGTTGAGTTTGTGGTCGAATGTTAAGCCGAGGAGGCGTACGCTGTTTGTGTTTGGCAGCGTTTTTTCTTGCATTTTTATCTCTGAGACTTTAATTTTCTTCTGGTGCGTGAATAAAACCGATTTGCATTTTGAGGGAGAGAACTGAAATCCTGTTTCTGCAGACCATTGACTGACGTTGTTAATTGCTTTTTGTATGAGCGAGCAGGTAGTTTTGATGTTAGATCCTGAGCAGTATATGTTACAGTCATCAGCATATAGTATGGTTTTGACTGGAGGTTTGATATTATTGCTGATGTCATTTATGGCTATTAGAAAGAGTGTTACACTTATTGAAGATCCTTGTGGTAGTCCATTTTCAGTTTCAAAGGTTGAAGATAAGGTATGTCCGGCTTTAACCTCAAAAGTTCTGTCTGTTAAAAAGTTGTTGGTAAATTTGAGAATGTTGCCTTTGAGGTTCCATTTTTGAAGTGAAGAAAGTACTCTGTGTTTCCATACTGTGTCGTATGCTTTTGCGATGTCTAAAGATACAATGAGCAAGTGATTTTTTTTTTCCAGCGCGTCGCAGATGTTTGTGTGGATTGTTGTTAGAGGGTCTATGGATGATCGATTTTTGCGGAAGCCGAATTGATGTGGTGAAAGGAGTTTGTTAGTTTCTAAATACCATGTTAGTCTTGTGTTGATTATGCTCTCGAGCGTTTTGCTCATTGTGTTTAGGAGGGATATTGGTCGGTAGTTGATGATTTCGAAAGGGCTTTTGCCGGGTTTGGTGATAGGTATTATGTGTGATGTTCTCCATTGTTTGGGGAAGGTGTTATTAATCCAGATGTAGTTAAAGATTTTGAGTAAAAAGTTAAGAGCTGATTGAGACAGATTTTGGAGGAAAGAAAAGGGTATTCCATCGGGGCCAGTACTTTTGCTTCGTTTATTGATTAGTGAGGTGTTTAGTTCATTGATTGTTAGAGGGCTGTTGATTGGATTGTCTGGATAGTCTGCTTCATATTTAATTGGTGAGTTTGTTTCGATTGTTGTTTTTAGGGTCACAAAATCGTTATTATAATTTTCATTGCTATTGTTTGATTGAAAGAAGGATCCGAAAGCATCTGCAATTTCTTTTTTATCTGTTAAAGTTTTGTTTTGGAAATTAAGTGTTTTTGTTTGGGTTCGGTTATTGCCTTTGATGCTATTTATCTTGGACCACATAAGATTTGCAGATGTTTTGTGGTTGATGCTGGATGTGAAACATCTCCATGATTCGGTCTTACTTATATTGATTATCTGTCGTGAAATTGCTTTGCATTTTTAAGTTCTATATGATCAGCTAGAGTTTAGTTTTTGAACGGTTTAATGCTTTTGTAGTTTTGATCGTTGCTTTGCAGTCCTCGTTCCAGGGACTCTTTTTGAAAGTATGGTTGGCTTTTGCCTGTATTGTGTATCTATGGATTCTGTAATGTTAGAGAATGTTTCAACTATGTTGTTCATACCTGTGTGGGGTTTGTGGAAAAGATTTTCAAATTGTTTGGCTAAGTTGACTGTCGACCATGTTGAAAAGGCGCACCAATCAGGGTTTTTGAGCCATTTGGGGAGTGGTCGCTGGCTGGAGATTTAAGCAGTTTAAGTTATCGCCAGTGATCGCTACTGTTGTACTAGTTTGGACGACCAATCATTGAACCACCTAGTGATGAGGACAAGAGAGATCATGGCGGAGGCTATTGCTGAGTTGCGTTGGCTGTAATGACCATTGTTGAGAAGGACTATTGAACCGCTCTGTATCTTTCAGTTTTCACCGTATCTAAAAGAGATCCCACAGAGGTTTCTACCGTTGGTCGCCGAGAGTAAGAAAGACGGGAAGTGTTTGATAAGGTTTTCGATGTCTATAGATTGAGGTCTGTGCTGTCTGGTTGATTGCATAAAGTGATTTTTACTGTAATTTACGTTATTTTTATTGAATTGCTTCGAGGTGAGTATTTGGGATTGTTTCATGTTCTGTTGACGCGAGACGAGGATGGCACCTCCGCTGGCTCTATTTTGATTTGAGGGTTCTGTAAGCTCTGATAGTTTTTGAGTGGGGTTGTTATTGTTTTTAGGTTGGTTTCTGTAAACGTTGTTTAACGTTGGAAGTAGCAATAATGCAACACCAGCATACCG